AGATGCTTGTCTGGTTTGTACTGATTCTGCTACGTCGTATGTTCTAACAGCATCACTCAGAAGGTCACTTGTTAGAATTTTACTGTAAAATTTATGAGTTAAAGCTTTTTTAAGTAATTTCCAGCACCTTCAAAAATATGGTAACATTAGTCCTTGGCGATCCATTTACAGTCTCTACAAGCCGTTTCCTTATCTCATTTGAATAAGAACTTAGCTGTTTTCGGTAATTTTACATTGGATTTAAGAATTTCACTGATAGTGAATTGAAGAAACATGCAATGATATGGACTGAAATACTTCCGTTGTATTTGATAAGGCATTATTTATTCAAGCGTTGTTTTTGCATTGGTTTATTTTCGCGATGAGATGAGAATGATAATTGAAGAATCATATCAATTAGTAAAATCAAATGCATGGAATGCAGGCTGTATAAATTAAGTGATTCGATTAGTATGTACACACTTCCACCACATCAATGCTGTGAATTATTTTTTTCAGGTGTCTTTGCCGCTTCCTTATCTGATTTGTGGTGTTTGGACTTTTTACCTGTAATTTTCATCAGTCACTTTCGCTCAGATGATCGGAAATATAAAGCAGACATAAAAGTCTCATGATGTTATAATTTTATCAATCGCTAATAAATATTAAAATATGGATTTCCAACACTGTTCACGCAAATCTTCCAAAATTCACTCAGCGCGTTATGGACGGCAGTGACCAATCATAACTACTACCATGACAAATCTCAGAACATGCTTCACTTTACAACACAACATTTTCCATGAAATCTTAGCCAACAAATACAAGCTTGCATCGAATTGTGAACGAATTTCTAGGAGAGTATCCATGCCCTTTGATGTCTCTACGATAAAATCTGCCATCTTCAGCTAGCTATAAAACAAAAAATGTTGCATATTATCACTGGTTTAGTGAAAATTTACTTCGCTTATGCTTTCGATGCTTCTTCTTACTACTGCTCTTGGCAGTTTTACGTGAATGTTTGGATCGTCTATGCTTTTTCTTCTTTTTCTTCTTCACGCTTGAATTCTCCACCTTCTTGCTTGATCCAGATGTTGTGCCTACAAACAAAGTGACTTCATATGATCATTTCCATAACAGTTCAACAGATTTCCAAAATGGAACACAATCAATGGATTAATTGTGATGTTATTAAATTAGGTTTTGGATTCACTTGTCGTCGAAACATCTGTTGTGTAGAGGCAACAATTCGGAGAGCGGTGCTCGTAACCTTTATCAGATTCCTTGATGGATTCCTTCTTTTTCTTATGACGTTTCTTTCGTTTACTTTTTGACACTGATGACGACCTTTTCTTCGACTTGCTCTCATCACCTGACCTTCCGCTGGTTTTACTTCCAGACTCCGCCTTGTTCGAATCACTTGACGGGGTTCTATAAGGCAGACTTTCTGATGCTTACAAATTTATTGATGCATCCAATAACATTCAAATAAGGCATGTTGCATTTGATCTTTCACAATTCGCAAATGATTCACAGAAGTAATTTAGAAACTGCGTTGCCTGAGTTTCAAGGCACAAAAATGACGGCACAATATCGGTTGTCGTTTAGTCCTCGCTCGATCAAGCAACTGGATTACTGTTGTCAAAATTGAAATTTTTTTGAAAATCACGCATCCAGTGCACTTTATTTTAATCGTTCTAGTGATCAGATTCAATGTTGTTTTCAGTTGCACTGTGCTCAATGGCCAAACAAAGCGAGTAAGTGAAAAGTGGAGTGAAAGAGCTCATACTTTGGTTTCATCTCGATATTCGAAGATGGTATCTGAACGGCTGCATAAACAAT